ATTTTTCAGGGCCCCTTGGGAAATCTCAAAGATAGGTTTAGGAGCAAAAGATATCATGGAATTTTTATTGTATTTTATTTTACATTTAGGATTTGATTTTGTGTAGACAAAACCCAGAAGTTTTCAGGAGATTTGAACATTTAAAAGAGAAATCAGATCATGGGTACTTGAAAAGCAATGACTACTCATTTTAAAAGTGATGATAAACATTATCCACCATTGTGAGCTTAGTAGCTTTTCGATAATTAAAGATTCTTCTGATACAGTTGATGGTCATATTAATGAGTGTGGTTTTTTTGATATTGCATAGTACAATGTGTTAATCTTGGAGATTTGCATAATTCAGTGAGCCGGTAATTTCTAAATGGCCCGTGTGTGATGTTACAAAGTCATGCATGGTTAAGATATTGTTTCAAAGAAAGATTGAGCAGTTGATTTTACTGGAGTATGAAAAGTTCATTAATATCAGAGTCTGAATCCCAGGTAATTACTGAGTTTTTGTGTAGTACAAAGCAATATCCACATTTGTTTCATGATTATTAAAATACATACTCCTTTTCTAACTTCATAACTGTATAAAGCCAAAGTCTTTACTTCAATCAAAACAATGTATCAGAGGAGATTGAATGCATAAGTAGATATGAGAATCCAGCTGTCTTCTATTAATTAGACAGTAACAAGATTTATAAAAATGTAAAAATGTGCTACTCTGCTAAACTTTTTTCATTTGGAAAAAATAGTTGTTTTACATAGAAATGTTGTTTAACCTGGGTTTATTATTGTTAATTCTAAATGAAATAAGAGATTCCTATTTTTTAAATTATCCATTTTAATTTTGAATATGATATAATCCACATAAACAAAAGGTTTTTGGAGTTCTCAATAATTTTTTATGTTGTAAAAGAGTCCTGAGACTAAAGGTACTGCTGTATCCCCTGGCATTGCATATATATTCCAGGGTGGAGGAGGGCAGGAGGAATGCTAGAGAATGGGATAGCAGCTGCATCAGGAAAGGAAAATGTGCTCCCAGAAAACATCAAGGGTAATATCTTTAGAACTGTCTTACCTATTTACCCTTAACTGCAAAATAGTGTGAGAAAGTGAGAACTTTGTGTTCTGTTGCTGCTCAGAACAATGTTGGAGTTCTGCTGGAGCTGATGGATTTTGGTTAGATAGTTACCAATGTCTTTTACACATAAATTGCGGTGTGTGTGTGTTGAATGACTTAACTGGTCATGGTCAGAGTTTCAGGGAAGTTCTGTCGTTTGATTGTTTTGTGCAGATTCCCCAAGACTTGCTTAGACATCTCACTTCATTGTCTTCTTGTTAATTCTTGGCTTTTTCCATGGTGTGTTTTGGTCTCAGTAGGCTCTGCCCCCAGGTCCATTTTATTGGAGTCACACATAGACTTGCAAAATCATTGACAGAACTGATTAAATTGGGAAATGTCCCATGTTTTTCAACAGAGATTCTCTTTATCTTTGTGATTTGGTAACTTCTTAACATTAACAAAACTTTGCTTTCTTATACCCTTAAACTGTTTTTCTCAAACTTGTTTATCAGTCTGTTTCCTGACTGATTTATTTATTTGTATATGAGCTCACTGCCATCTTTTAAAGAGAAATTTACTTTGTCAGGAGTCATGATTCACTTAAAAAAAAAAAATGATTCAGAGCCTATATGGATTATTCTGGCCCAGGATTTACAATCAGATTTACATCTTAAAGTGTGGCCTGGGGGCCAGCAGCATGGGAGTCACCTGGGAGCTCGTTAGAAACAACAGAATCCCAACTGTCCTCAGGCCTAACAGTCTGCATTTTGGCAAGATCCCTAAGTAATTCAAATGTACAAAGTTTCCGAAGGACTGGTCTGAGAGAGGAAACAGATGAGAAGAGGAACTGTATTCTGAGAAGTTTTCTTGTTTAATGTAAAGAAAAAGAGCCCATAAAGAGAGGCAGAGATGAGAGTCAGCTGGGGAGGTGTGTGGTATGGTATCTCCGTGCTTCCTTGAGGAAGCAGCAGGCAGTGAGGCTCTCTTCTGTCAAGATGGTGGTACCCAGTGAGCAGTGGTGGAATGTATTAGAGACTGTGTGAAGATAATTTGCCAGGGTTTTTATCACTTGGGCACTGAAGCTTAGTTTCAGCTTGAGCTGCAGTGAAGCTCTCTCTCTTTGTTATTCCTCATTCCAGTTCTTGATATTGATGTTCGGTAAACTTTCCTTCTTCTCATGTAGAAACTTGATGTTCTTTGACTGTAAGAGAGAATGATGTCACCCACTCTACCCACTGGAATTTATGTATGTGCTTTTTTGTGTCATTCTTTGCCTCTTCCCTAGTTGTACATTCCTCAATGAAACACTATTTCAAGGCACTTCTGTGGTAATGTTACCATTGGTGCCTACCTCAGAGTTAGATTTATTTTTGTCAGTGTTCTGTGCCTGATACAATTGTTTGTATATGGCAGTCACATAGTAAATAAATATGGAATGAATGAGAAACTGATTTGAATGAATCCTGGAATTTGCTTCCTTTCAGTTAGTCCAAATAAATGTGGCAATGTTTTTAAAAAAACTATGGTCTAGTGGGACTGAATTGTTAATTTCCTACCAAATAGTGGAGAAGCAATACCAAATATTGAGACTTTAAAACATCTTTATCTTCTGGTGTTCTGGGGCTAGTTATTTGTTTTTACCCTGTAGAATACTGAATTGTTCTAACAAGGAAAACAGGATAAAGTTTGTGTCATTAAGGTTATTTCTCAAGTTCATAAGGTAAAGAGCAATTTTTAGATCTCAATCTTGATTTATAATGTTACCTAGCTTAACAGCTGGGCTCTCCCCACTCAGTACCATTCTCTATGGAATAATGGGTGTTGGGAAGGTCTAGGATATGAATTATTGCTGCTTGGAACTTCTCTGTAGATTTCCAGATGGTATTAAACTGGCTATTTCTTGTAAGGTAGCAGGTAATTTGATAGCAGTTATAATTGGTTTTCTGTACAAATAATACAAAGCATATGGTATCTTTGTTTTAATTTAGTAGACTAAATTAAAATTTGGTAGTAAATTGCCAGTAGAGGAGCCTTTAAGTTGGATTTGCAGCAGTGTCCTGTGTTTGTCCCTAGTGCGTTCTTGACTCATGAATGAAACTTCGATGTTTGTAGATTTACCTCTCATGTGGAGAAAATAGATATTGGTGATATATTTCCAACACCTTGAACATTGTTTATAATTTTATTCTTTTCCTTTATAGCTAGCTAAGTGATGAGCTTAAGACTAAGAAACAGTCCATGAAACTAAACACTTAATAACATTGTCATGTTGTATTACATTTAAGAGATATGAACTTCTGTTTGTACTCAGATTTATAAAGTAAGGGAGAATATAATAAAATCATTCCCCAAATTACACAAACACACTGCTATGAAGACAAGACAGTATTGCCAAAACATGTGCTGAATGGCAGGCTACTTGTGAGGTCTTGAAACGTTTCTTCATAATCATTTTAATGATACCAAGTGTACAGAAGCAAAGTGCGAAAGTCAAAGCAGTCTGTGACTTGATGGATTGAGGGGAAGGAGAAGATCACAATTTTCTTGGTGGCCAGGTTTCTTGAAGGAGAGCCTTAGTGGAATGGAATCTGCTCTTCCTCAAAGGAGTTTTTATATGATCCACCTGCTCCTTTGTACTTCCTTATGATAAAAGAATTCTGCCTCCATCTCAGCATTTTGTGGTCTTTGCCGTGGTTATTTTCTGGCATGTGAACTGAATGGAGAATAGATAATCTTAAAAGTACACATAAGATCATCTCTTCCATTTCCAGTAGTTTTTTTTTTTTTTTTAACTCATTTGATTTAGAGCAAGCCTGAGTGGATGCAGGGAAAGTTACTGTATTATTATTATTATTTTTTTTTTTAACCATTTTATAGTGTGGAATATTGCTGTATTCATATGCTAGGAATATCATAACAAAGTACCATAGACTGGATAGTTAAAACAACAGGAGTTTATTTTCTTATTGTTTTGGAAGTTTTAAGTCCAAGATCAAGGTGTCAACAGCAGGTTAGGTTTTTCTTGTGGACCTCTTTCCTTAATGTGTAGATAAATGGCTATCTTCTCCCCGTGTCTTCTGTGTTCGTGTATCTGTGTCCTAATTTCCTCTTCTTATAAGGACACCAGTCACACTGCTTTAGGGCCCACCCTAATGGCCTCATTTTAGTAGTTTCTTCTTTAAAGACTTCCATCTCCAAATGTAGTCACATTCTCAGTATTTAGAGTTAGGGCATCAACATAATTGGAGGGGTAACAATTCAGTGTATAACAATTATGTATCAGGGAGGTCAATTTAAAAGCAGAAAGACCAGAAGGAAAGTTATTCAAGAATTCCAAGTAAGAAATGAAGGGAACATAAAGGCATTGACAGTAGAAATGGAGATGGGATTTGAGACTGAGAGACACTGGTGGGGAAGCATTTGATAAGAAGACTTTGTAAGAGGAGAGTGAGAGGGAGGAGACTGGCAGGACTCTGTTTTCTCTAACCCGGGAGGAGAATAGGCTTGGGGGAGTAGGTGTGAGCTGTGGGGTGTCCCTGCAGAGTGTTAGCACTTTTCAGCCATCCTTTGTTAGGGTCTTTTGTCCCTGTCTCATGGCAGCTCCTCATCGCATGCACATCATACACAACTGAAGACACAGTTTAACCCCGCTGAACCTCCCCTTGAATGCTTCTTAAGATACGTATTGCCCTCATATTTTTACAGTTAGCTCTAAATTCCTGTCCTTTTCTTATTAATAAGTTCCTTTAGGGAAAAGACTTGTTTTATTCATATTTGCCTAATTCTCCAGTGTCTAATAGCTTGCCCCTGTACACAGTAGTTGGTGCACAGCAAATTCTAATTGAGGGAACAATTTGTTAATAGAATTGTTATGTTCCGTTACTTGTTTGCCAATTTTAATCAAAACTTGATGCCTTAGGTAAAGTAAACCTGTTTGGTTTTCTTGCAGAATGAGAAGACTTTGGGACATTCCATGAGTCATTCAAGCAACATTTCTAAGGTAGGGTGCCACTGAAATATGTTATTTTTGTAACTTGAGGTTTTTATATTCTTTTATATTTATACCTGGCATGTGTTTTATACTGTTTTCAAGACATAAAGATCTCAATACATTGCTTTAATCTGCTCTGGAACCCAGATTATATGTGAGGTATGTAACAGTCATATTTTTCTAGGGATGCAGTTCTGAGCATGTGTTTGAGGGGAGTGAGTAATAGGAGAAAACCCTATTTCTTCCAGTAGAAATCATTTACTTTCAGGGAAAAGAATTCTCAGAGAGCTATCAGAGAATCTGTCACCTTAATTAGGAATGCATTTGAGAGACAGTAACAAAACATCAGTTCTACTGACTTAAATAATCATGGATTTATGCGGTTCTGATGACAAGATGTCTGCAGGTGGATGGTTCATGGCTGATGTGTTGTTGCTCACAGATGTTGCCAGGGACCCAGGCTCTTTCTGCTTCGTTTGTGCCATCTTCCTTGGTACACTGTCATCCTCTTTGACACCTTATGGTCTTGGGGTGGGAGTTGGACCTTAGCTGACACTGTAGCTTGTGCAGTCTGTCAGCTGAGAGTGACCCTTTTCAGCCAGAAGGCAAAAGCTTTCCCAGAAGCCCCACTCAGTTGCCTGACTTCTGCTTACATCTCACTGGTGAGAACTGCATCACAAGACCACTGCCAGCTGGAACATGGCTAGGAAAAGGAGGGCAGAGAGGGTGAATCAGCCAGCCAACAGCACCTGATCACCTGTGGGATAGTCAGTTGGGTAGTCTGTCAGGAGTACGTCAGATGCTTGGAGTGACCCCAGAGCCTACAGACAGTGTCTCCCATGCCGTGAGCTTGCTCACATGCCCAGCTCATCTCTCAGCCCAGACACAGGCTCTGACCCACCCCTTGTTCGTGTAGGTATGTCTGTGAAGGTTCCTGGCAAAGGTGGACTTTCTCCCCAAGTCTATGTCAGGTCTGGACAGTATGGCAAAACCTGGCCTGCTGCCTCAGGTCTTTAATTTCTTTAAAATAGTCACATTATATGCTAAATGTTTTTTATTCAGATCACTCTGTAATATACTTTGGAATTAAGAGTAGAAAACCCTTTAAGACATTAATCAGTCTGTTCTTAGGCATGCTTGTGATCTGACCATGACATTCTGCCACTGAATTTTGCATAAAGAGAAAATCCATAGTGCTTAGTGTGCCTGAACACTGTTTACAGAGTGCTTCTTGGTTCATTGCTGACCTGTGTGTGTGTGTAAAGTCACTCAGTCATGTCCGACTCTTTTTGACCCCATGGACTGTAGCCCGCCAGGCTTCTCTGTCTGTGAGATTTTCCAGGCAAGAATACCAGAGTGGGTAGCCATTTCATTCTCCAGGGGATCTTCCTGATCTAGGGATTGAATTCGCATCTCATTATGTCTCCTGTATTGGCAAGCAGGTTCTTTACCACTGTGCCACCTAGGAAGCCTTCCCCCAGATCAGTGGGGGTGGCTTTAGCCACCTCCTATAAATACCTTTCAGTGAATACTCTCTGCTGTTCCAACCTCCTTTTCTTTCCTTTTTGCTGTTCCTTCAGCCAGGAATGCAGGAGCTGTAGAACTGTGCAGTGGTACATCATTACTGTCAGAGTGAAATGGCCAGTTTTGACTTCTGACTTTTTGAAGGAGCTGTCCAAAATGTTCCTCTAGACACAACTCTCCAACAGTGTCTAGAGGAACATTTTATGGGCTTGGCACAGACCTGTGGTGTGGGCCTTCTGAGTTACTCGGTGAGGGTTTTAGGGTAAGGTGAACAAAGGTTTACCAGACATGTGACTTTGAGTAAGGACACTCCTCTGAACTTTAATTTCTTGATGAGTAAAATTAGGATAATAATAGAACCTTCAGGCTTGTTGTGAGTCTTAGCGGTGATGTTTGCCAGAAGCCGTGTGACAGCTTCCTCAACGTAGTGAGTCAGTAAATAAAGTGACTCTTGCTAAACTTGGTTGAACCCTGAAGACCTTCAACTGATTGGATCAGGATAGTCTTATTATTATTTCACTGCTGATTGAAGAACTGCAGGCAGGCTTTGTTTTATTGCATTTCACTTTATTATACTTTTCAAATGTTGCATTTTTTATAAATTGAAGGTTTGTGGCAACCTTGCTTTGAGGCAGTCAGTCAGCACCATTTTTCCAACAGTATTTGCTCACTTGTCTCTGTGTCACATTTTGGTAATTCTCTAAATATTTCAAACATTTTTGTTACTGTTATTGTATTTGTTATGGTGATCTGTGATTGGTGATCTTTGATGTTACTACTGCAACTTGCTGAAAGCTCAGGTGATGGTTAGCGTTTTTTAACAATAACGTATTTTTTAATTGAGGTATGGCTTCACTGATAGCTCAGTTTGTAAAGAATCCACCTGGAATTCAGGAGACCCCCGTTCAATTCCTGGGTCTAGAAAATCCACTGGAGAAGGGATAGGCTACCCACTCCAGTATTCTTGGGCTTCCCTTGTGGCTCAGATGGTAAAGAATCCGCCTGTAATGTGGGAGACCTGGTTCAATTCCTGGGTTGGGAAGATCCCTTGGAGAAGGGAAAGGCTACCCACTCCAGTATACCGGCCTGGAGAATTCCATGGACTGTATAGTCTATAGGGTTGCAGAGAGTCGGACACCACGCGACTTTCACTTTGTTTTTTAGTTATAGTATTACTTCAGAGTTAATGGAGAACTGTGAAAGCCCAAAGCTTTCTTCCATAGAGCAGCAAGAAGATCTGGGCTTCTTGCATTTCCACAGCAGGAATTCCTACACACTTCACCGGGATCAAAAGAAAACTTCAGTAGTGGGGAGTCTTGTTTGCTCACACAACTAACTTCCCAGTGATCCTATCAGCATGAAATTTTGTTGCAAAAGCCTCCTTAAGTTTGTTAAGAGATGAACAAGTTAAATGGGGCTGAAGAACAGAGGGCAGGATTGCTATGAAACTTGTTTTTGAGAATGCAGTTCTTTCTTGTTCTATTTATAAAACAAGCCTGTTATTTGAGGCTACTTTTAGGCCAAGACATGTAAAACTCTTGTCTTCAGTGTAGCAGACATACTTAAGCAGACGCTTCCTACCCTTGAACTAGAAGATACAAGGGAAGGTCAGTCTGTGGACAGGTTATGCTACCTGAGATTCTGTCTTTGTCGAGACTTTTCCTGTCGACTCAGCCTGTACCCAGGCTTCAGGGTGGTCTGCCCGTGTCAGTCAGTCACGTGCAGTCTGCGTTACCTCCTGTTAGAAAGCTTACAAAATGTTCTTCGTCATGTCGCCTAAACTCTTTTTCTATCAACCCCCAGTGGTGCTGATTCTGCCCTTTGTGAACTAGAGCTCTGACAGACAGTGGGATTTGGGAGGCTTTGTGTTGGAGAGAAGGGAGGGAGTGAGGTGGGTCTCTGCTGTTGGAGTGATGGGCAGCCTCTGACTGGTGGCCATCACTCCTGGGTTACTTGGAGCACGAGCTGGTGGGGGAATGTGCCCAGGTACTGACATGGCCTTCGGGTGGACTCGGGTGGTCACAGAGGTTGCTCTTGGAACGCCTACCATGTAAGGGTGCGGTGACCTGACTCCCTGTCCAGGGGTATTGTACCATCACTGCCCCCCACCTGCAAGCTGTCTCATCACCTGGTATAAAGTACCCTCAACTGTAAGGTGTACAAGGAGGCCCAGTGCAGTGTTTAGGAGTATTACATGAGTTCAGATTTTGTCCGCACATAACTCTGTGCCAGACATTATGCTTTGAATGCTGAACCAAACAGAGGAGAGAGGAATAAGCAGATGTCCATAAAGTACCTTTAGGCAGAATCATGAATGGGAAAGAAAAGGGGCTAAGGTACAAAATGATGAGGCCCCAGAGTTGGAAGGGCTGTTCAGGGAAGGTCTGGCTGAGGAGGGGATGCGGACGTAGAGGGTTTAAAGCTTCTGGCCGGGATGAGGTTAAACTGTAGTAGAAAACTGGTCTGTCACCTCCTTGGGAAATCTAGTGCTTTAGGTAGAGGTAAAAGGAAGGTATTTGCAACCTTAGTCAATAGGAGTGATGGCTATCTCGCCCATCCAATTGCAGGTACCTGTAAACCCTGGGGCTGTGTTGGTTGGGGCTGTTCCAGTGAGGATCACTGTTTAAGGCTTCCTAAGTGGTGCTAGTAGTAAAGAACCCGCCTGTCAGTGCAGGAGACAGAGGCGGGTTCGATCCCTGGGTCAGGAAGATTCCCTGGAGGAGGGCATGGCAACCCGACTCCAGTATTCTTGCCTGGAGAATCCCATGGACAGAGGAACCTGGCAGGCTATGGTCCATAGGGTCACACAGAGTCAGACATGACTGAAGCAACTTAGCATGTTGTTGTTCAATCGCTAAGTTGTGTCTGACTCTTTGTGACCTCGTGGACTGTAGCCCGCCAGGCTCCTCTGTCCACGGGATTTCCCAGTCAAGAATACTGGAGTGGATTGCCATTTCCTTCTCCAAGGGATCTTCCAGACCCAGGGACTGAACCTTCATCTCCTGCATGGGCAGGCAGATTCTTTACCATTGACCCACCAGGAAGCCCTGAGGACCACTTTACTTCGAACAGAAATCCTTTAGAGGAAGATTGGGATTCCCTGAGGAGGCTTGAATTCACTCTGTCCAAATGAAATTTTTTAAGATACATGGAATCAGCTTAGGCCAGGTTCACTGTGGGGGCTGTACTTCTTGAGCCTCTGCTGACACCTCTCTGGGAGACTCATATGCAGGAAAGCGCAGCACCCAGACATGGCATTAGTTTACACCGAGGGAAGCATTCTCATTCAACTCTGGGAACTGGATTTGGTCCAGGTGACACAATTTCTTGAACAAGTTCATGACTAGCAGTGCTTCCCATGGGGAGATGGCAGTGGCAAGCTGCGCATTGCTCATGAAGCCTGGAACATGTGTGCCTCCTCCTCCTGCAGCGAGGTGAGGTGACTAAGCTCTGGCAGTTTCCAAAGGCTGGTACCCAGCAGAATA